AGAAAAAAACCTCACAGGTTGTTTTTCTTTATCATGAGTTACTGAGTTACTCCTAGGCGACTTTGCAATGCCACTGTTGTGTGATTAGTGCTTTCTGCTTCCTGCCAAATTTACTTATCTACTCGGTAGAATGAAATAACTTTATTGCCTACCTATGATTGCTCTCAGTAACTGATTTGTTGACAAATACCCATAGAAAATTTTATTAGCCCTTGATATAATGAAATGCCTACTAAAGGCATATTCTATTAGATACAGCAGCCAGTTTACTTGATGAGGAAGGCTGAAATGTCATTATTTGCATAATCTTTATTTGGTGGTAATTATTACAATTAAATTTGTACCAGTTGAAAACTAGGCCAGATAGCAAACAAAAATTTGAGAAGTATTTAAATTACTGAGAAATCATGTTCAAATGCTTTTTTTTTTTTTAAATATAAATTAATAAATTGTGCTGATTGCATAAACATACATGATGGTGGTTGGGAAAAAAAGACAGCCTACATAGTTCTATATTGGAGGATTAAGATACTAAAATAAATACTTGTGAAGAACTTCAAGTGCTTAGAATGGCTGAAAACATAATGTCATACAAATTTTGCTAGCATTAGTTCTCACTTGTGTCACTGTGTAAGTGCAGACTAAAGCTATTTAGGCCTTAAGATACTGGAGATTTTTTCCTTTTTTTCTTTTTTTCTTTTTTTTTTTTAGGATTTACCTTTCTTTTGTAGAATGTTCTGTCTTGCTTTAATGAAAGCTAGGATGTCAGCATCAGTCTGGCTGTCTCCAGTCAGAGGAATAGATGTACTTGAACTTGGTGGGGTCCTGAAATGAGAAAGCATATTTGTGGACCAAACTGAATAAAGTCATTTTTCTGTTGCTTTATCTCCTCACTCCTTAAAATGGAGGGCTTTGTTCTTTGTTCTCCAGATTGTTAAAAATTGCACTATTTGGAGTAGAATTAAGCTGAGGACATCGTAATGTAGTCTCCTAAGAATAGCCAATAGTAGCTTTTTAGTTTGGTGGAACTATGAGCTGAATAGTTATAAAACCTTCCTCAAAGGGTTAAAAATATTTTACTGCTCAAACAAAGGCTTACCACCAATTGGAAAAGCTCTGTGTGGCGACTATATTAAAGAAATTATGGAAATGACCATGCCAAGTGCCTGTTTGCTTTTGGGAAAAAAAAAAAAACACTCAAAAAGCAACAGCTATTTATTTGAACAGATCATTGGTATTTTTGCCTACTGTAAGAGAATTAAGATCTCATTTGAACACAGAAGAAAACAGTCACATGATATTCATGAAATCTGCTGACAGAGGCAACTATTTTGTGCTGGTGAGTCTCCTGTGCAGGTTGAGATATGTTTCTACACAGTTAAGTCCTTAATTCACATTTGCTTTTTGGTAGACACATCAGTGGTATATACCGATGTAGTACAAGAAAGTTATTCTAATCAGCTAAGGATTTGTCTCTGTGTTGTTAGTCTTCTGTAAAGATTAAGCATTAATGTAAAAATCAGAAACAGAGTGATAAAAATTACAATATGGAAGCACAAGTGGTAATGAAGGGAGAAAAACTATTTTCACATACTCTACCTTTGTCATTACTGTTGTTTCTGCTGTTCTTTACCATCTGCTGCAGCAAAAAGTAATTGTGCCTACCATAAAACAAGTCTCACATCCTTTTCTTTGTTGGACTACTAATTAAATCCTTTGTTGCAAAATTAGTGAATAATAATGGGAAAAAATTATAGAAACTACTATATGAACTCAATAAAATATTTCATATGTAACTTACAAGGAGAACTCAAAATACCATCAAAGATTTATTCTTGTTGATCTTCATGTGATTAACAGTAATATAAAAAAAATTAAAAATACTTTATATATATATATTTGCTGTTTTATATATGTTTTATTTTGGAAGATGAGAGAAAAAAACTTGCAGTTTGTTCTAACTTTTGCATCTTGAAAAACAGTAGCTTAACCATATTTTCCTAATACCAGAAGTACTGAGCACAATGAGAATATAACCTCTGGGAGTATGCTGCCAAGGCATGACATTTTGGTGGGAGAAAATGATGAGGAAATGAAAACATATGGAAAAAATGAGAAGCCATCAAAAAACACAACACAAAACAGTACTTTCTGCTAACCTGCTAAGCTAATTTTCACAAGGTAGTACCTCATTTGAAAAAACATGGAATATAACATTTGCTAAGCCTGACAAACTCTGACTGCTGCTGTCATTTTATTTTACTCTAATAATTTGTGGGAGGGAAACTGAAAATATTTCATGGTGTCACAAGGAACCTTGTCTAAAATTTTATGTCAATGTCATGAGGTCAAAATCACAACAGTAAAAAATCTCTACCCAGAACTTGCAGTCTGTGATAGTTACCCACTCAGATCTCTCTTTCAAATTATTTTATTTATAGTTTCAGAGTCTCTTTCTTTTGCAGAAACAGAAACAGTCATGAGGAATCATGAACTCATGTGGAAGAAAGCCTGAGGCCACCTCCTCAAAAAGCTTGTGATGTTGTTGAGGAATTTTGAGTAAAACCTGCTATTCTTTCCCTCCCTTTCTCTCCCCTTCCCCTCTTTCTGTCTTTCTGTCTTTTTCTCTCTTTTATTTAAAAAAACCTGTTTATAATGATAGCAATAGAGGGTTATCTAGGTGTTATATTACTGGCTTGTGTTTTCCTCTCATTAGTCTAGGTAGGCTTCTTACCTTATTTTTGTAGTTGGGTTATCAAAAACGATTGAATTGTTTTTCCCAGATGAATCTGCATTGGAATTGGTTCTTGTGGTCTCTGAAAAACTGGAATGGGAGAAGAAATGAGGGCAAGGATATAATCCTTGTAGAGGGAATGTTAGTACATGCTAAGTACAAAGAAGTTATTTAAAAAAAAAAAAATATATATATATATATATATATGCACATATATATAAAGCACTTGTTGATTATGGGAAGAAAGAGTGTTTTCAGTTGAAGCCATGTGATGATCCCGCTTATGTAGTGAATGTGGCTACTCAGGAATGAACAAGGAAGCTCATAAAGGTTATGCTTTTAGGATTTGCCTTCTAAGCAGGGCTTGTAAAGCGCTTTGACAAGCCTCATGAAGAGTTTGTAGAGATATATTTAGTTCCCAAACTGACAATTATCCAAGTGAGGCTTTAGCAAATTTTTCGTTATTTCTTTAGTTGGGCAAAATTATTACTGGAAACAGTTGGAGATTGAGTAAAATCCAGTGAAGTCTTTGGAATGTGTTTTGATGAGAGCCATGCAAATGGATGTTGTGCATTCCTTTGTCCACAGATATAATTATCAAAGAGACCCACAATGAGGAAAGGAGATTTCTGCCAGGGGATGACAGACACCGCTCTCTCTCTCCCTAGGTTTTTGTGTACGTTGCTGTATCTGATACCATTCTTGATTGACGTTGAAAGATGGAATTACTCAGTTTTAAGATTTTTCCACTAGATGGCAGAATCGGCAAGTTCTTGCTTTTCCAACTCCGCAATGCTTCATTGCGGGAGGATGATACGATATTTCTGACAGAGAACTTGAAAAAAGAAAGAAATTTATCACTAAAATGTCAGTGTATTATGCTGTTCCAGGTTCATTTTTTTTGCAAAAGATATTGCTTCCTTAATGGTAATAATGCTCCATACTTTATTATGGATATGTATTACAAGAACAATAGAGAATGTGTGATGATACTACCTACTACGTGGTTTAACAATATCTGGGAGCTCTAGATTGAAGTTCTGCTTTAGCATTTCCCCCCCAAAATGCCATTGATTTGGCAGTTATTAAAAAAGAAGTGATCTAGGAGCTTAAATTCCATTTTCTAAAAGAACTCTGTGTCTGTGCCCTGAGATACCAGGCTATCCAAGTCATATAACTGTGTTTTAATAAATCACATCAACTGAATCATAATAGGCATTCATGATTGTATTCTTAACCTGCAACAAATGTAAGGTACTGTGACATAATGGGATTGTTTGTCATTGCCATAAGATTTTTTGCTTTTTACTTGCCGCAATCAGAATGTGTACATTTATAAACACTGTGAGTCAGCTGATAGAAATAATTTTTATGAGCAGTAGTTGATATTTTAAATCGTGCTTCTCACTGTATTTCAATGAAAACTACTCTCCAAAATTGTTTAACTCTGCTTTTAAAAAGTACACAAATTCAGACCACTTAAGGTGTGATTTTAAGGAATTGACTTCTCATTTTCAAGTGGTCTCCTGGATCTCGGGCAATAGACCAAAATTGGCTTTAAAGTGATCTGAGAGAACTGAGAACCTTGAGAAGGTGATATTTAAAACAAACCAACTTAGATTGAGTGAGGTGAAACCCCAAACCAGAAAATTATGACTGTGTTCAGTAATAAAACAGGACCTTAAACTGCTACTCTGTCTGCAAAACATTACAGCCAGACATGCTTGTTTGCAAGTGAGAGCTTTGTAATGACTCGAGGTGTTACTTCCATAAAAGTGGCTAACAATTAGAGTACTAATCTAACAAATGAGTCTTTCATCTTGGTAGAAACACTAAGTCTTACTTACATACCTCAGAAATCATTAGAATTCCTCAATTAGAGGGATGGTCATTATGGAGGTAACCTGAATCCTTTGTGTTGAAGCTATGGTTATTTTTCCATAGTATTGGAAGATATGTTGCATCAAAAAGGGATGAATGAATGTAATTTTCTTGCGCAGTTAGTACTTTCAGATTCTATAACATTTATGGTGTCCATATCTCTCTTAGTCTGTTTCCAGAATCCAGGACCCTTCTGTTTAACTTGAGTTTTAGGTGCTTTTCCAGTGATGAGAAAAGGGGAAATTTTGCTAATACTGCTTCACATTTAATGGAAAGCTATTATGTAGTGGTGGGGAATGGGGGCAATGATCCCCCACTCTGTGTGTTAAGCCTGAAGGTCTTGGTATCTCAGGAGAATTAAGTGTTGATGCCCTTGCTGGAAAACTACTTTTCTAGCTTTTTCTTAGAATCATAGAATCACAGAATCATCAAGGTTGGAAAAGACCCCTATGATCATCCAATCCAAACGTCCAGCTATCACCACTATTTCCCACTAAATCATGTCCCTCAGTACAACATCCAAACATTTCTTGAACACCTCTGGGGATGGTGACTCCACCACCTCTGTGGACAGTCCATTTCAGTGTCTGACCACACTTCTCTTGGAGAAATGTTTCCTGAAGTCTGACCTGAATCTCCCCTGGTGCAACTTGAGACCATTCCCTTTAGTCCTATCACCAGTTACATAGGAGAAGAGGCCAACCCCCACTTTACCACAACCTCCCTTCAGGTAGTTGTAGGGAGAAATAAGGTCACCCCTGAACTTCCTCTTCCCCAGATTAAATAATCCCAGTTCCCTCATCTGCTCACCATAAGACTTGTGCTCCAGATCCCTCATAGCTTCACTGCCTTTCTCTGAACACAATCCAGGGTCTCAATGTCTTTCTTGTAGTGAAGGGCCCAAAACTGAACACAGTGCTTGAAGTGAGAAAATACTTTTCACTAGCAAAGAGATGAAACTAAGGATGCTAAGAAAATCTTTAAAGAGTGATGACTCAACTTTTAGAAGCATTCTTCCTGAGTCCAGGTGCTTGACAAAGCGAGACAAAAAGATAGGTGACATGATTTAGTGTGATAATAGTCCTTCTTCGAGCAAGAGGTTCATCTAGATATCTCTAGAGGTGCCATCTAATCAATATTTTTGTAATATGTTAGTTGGCACTCTTGGCTTACACTTTTGGATTTAGACAGATGTATGACTTACAGAAGTCCAGTCTCTCTATTCAGCAACTAAGATCTAAGACCATTCAGGTTCTTTAGATAACATGTAATTTCAATTTTCGGTCTGAATCTATCCAATGATTTTTCTTGAGTTGAATCGAAGAAGGCAAATTCAATTTCCTGACAGTTTCTGTAAAATTCTTGCTTTTTTTCTGGCAATTACAAATAGCCTTAGATTTATCATTTCTTTCTTGAAGTTAGTAGCAAGAGTTTTTACCCAGTGGGTGACTTGCTTTTTCTTTTTGAGCCATCTGTTGTGGAGCATATGTCTGGGTCAGGCATGGGGCAGCAGCTTGAGAGATGTACACACTGTTGTTGCATTGTCTCCCTTGCTGTGAAAACCCAAGAGCTGATCAGCTCCATCTAGCCCTTAAAGTGGAGAATCTGGAAAGATGATGAGTGTTGTTGCATGAATGTTTGATTTGTAAGTGTGGCACTGAAAAAAAAGTGGAGAATGTATGTAACATCCAAAGGCATGCAACCTCAACATTGTTAAAAACAAATTTGCTTCAGTTCTCCAGGCATCTGAACCTTAAAAGTAGAAGGAACAGATGTTCCATTTAAAGGCAGACAAAATACATTCAGAAAGATTCAAGCTGCTTAAAATCTGAATATTTTTGTGTTTAGTTGCAAAATAAATTTGGCTTCACTTGCAAATTCCTAGATAAATTGTTCAAGTCAAATTGTTACGAACATTTGTAAAGCTTTGAAATATCATTAATCAGACATGTTATTCTCAGATTATATTTTATCATCATGTAACACTGCAGAAAATTGGCAGAAATAAAAAACAAGACAGAGAACGTTGCAAAAAATGTAAATGTTTCTCTTGTTTCACATAGCCCTAGTACAGGAAATAAATTTTGTAATCCAAGGCAATCAATACTAAAACAACTGATGCTAAAAATCTTCATAGAATCTGAAGAGGTGTCTGAAAACCTAAGGAAACTAAAGTGATTTCAAAGAAGCTGAGGACATAGAGTCTGATATTGAACATGCTGTGTGGTTTGCTGGAACAGGACAAATGAAATCTATTAAGAGGGAGTGACTGAGGTTAGGAAAGAAACAAGTAAACTACAAGGGAATGGATTTCTTCTGACAGAAGGAAAAAATCCAAAATTTTTAGATTTCAGTAAGCATCCAACATTTGTTTTATTCACTGGAGATATAAGAACAATTCAACATTAATGAAATTGAACTTTCAATGAGAAAAGTTGGTTGGATGGGGCACTGGGCAGCCTGGTCTAGTATTAAATGTGGAGTTTGGTGGTCCTGCCTGAGGCAGAGGGGTTGGAGATTCATGATGCTTGAGGTCCCTTCCAACCAGGGCCATTCTGTGATTCTGTGATTCTCTGATTCTGTGACTCTGTGAAGTAACTTGAACAGGCAAGAATCTGATAAACATCCTAAATGAAAGCCAACATGTGAGAAGAATGACACTTTTTTTCAGACTCGACAGGCGCCCAGTGGGAGGCATAAACATACATATGATTTGCAGTTCAATCCACAGCTTTGCTGTGGAGAGTAGGGCACTTCTTTTCAAGTTTGAGGGATTATATTAGGCATACATTTTGAAAAACACAATGTTTTGATGATTATCTTACATTCCTCATTCTTTCTCTTAGTACTGTGACTCTGGGATTGGTGATTAGATTATACAGTGGAATGTAGAGGTGGACCATTCTTTATCCATTTTGCACAGTTGTTTTTTGTTTTAAGTAATATGCTCAGAACAGATGAGATTTAATATTTCTACAATCTTCACGTGAAAGATAATGAAAACATAATTATATCTGCGAAACCCTTTAAATCTATTCAACGGGTCAATGAAAATGAGTCTGTTAGCCTTTGCAATATGCAAACCACTGATTTCAGCTACTTAAGTGTATTTCAGTAAAAAGATTAACTTGTTCAATAAATTACCTTTCTTATGCACTGATAATCCTTATGTCACACCTCAGCTCTCTGAACTCAGTCAAGTTTTGCTTCTTACTCTGGTTGCAGTAGTATCAAGCCAATTCCTTTCACAGCTTATTCAGAACTAATTCAGAAATGCTCACTATTTAACTCCTTTATGACGTAGACTCATTTGACATTTAACAAACTTTTTTTTTCCATTCAAAAAAGTTGTTTGGCCATGCAATTAGTGCCTTTTATACATGTTTATCCTTCCTAAATCTCACAAGGATTCCTAGTTTCCTTTCACTGTTATTTTAGCTATAAATTCATTTAATATAAAATTTAATTTGAGGCTATCACATTCTCTTCCCAAAGTTTAATTATCTTTAGTAATATAACTACGGTGTGTCAAACAGTAATAATTCACATAAATTATTCACTAGAAGGTGATCAAAACATTTTGTTTGAACAGACATATAAATCTCAAGAAAGATTATGGAGTGTGCTTGTATCCTTGAGGCACTGACACAGACAATTTACAAGTATTGTTTTTAATCCTGAAGTCTGAATTTATATCAATTCACGCTAAAGATTTTTTCTGAATAGTTTTACTGCATAGTTATTCTGTCAACAGAAGTCCTAGATTTCTGACATGAAGCTCCTTAAGTTTTAGACCTTTAATCTATTGAATATACCTGTGAACAAAATTCCTTCCTGAAAATATGTTTTATTTATACTACATTATGTTCCATATAATTTGAGAGCTTCCGCTTTTGTTATCATATAACTGTTCTGCTAGGTGAACACAGTTGAATTAGAAACAAAGAGCCATTTGTTTCTTGGGACCATGCAAAAGAGAGGAGAAATTTTAGACTAGACTCATCCTACACAGTCATGGGAACAGGTATGTAATGTTCCTACATCAACTGAGGTCAAATAAATTCTTGAGAATAAAGATTTTATTGTTTTATATTCTTTAACACTGTGAAATTGGAAACTTCTACTTTAAAATGTTATTGCCTCAGGTAGGAGGAAAAGTAAAATTTAATGCATAGTGGGATGTTAAGTCTGCAGCTCTTCCTCACAAAAAGCAGAAAGAGTGTTTCCAATTCCATACACATCATGTACCTGCGTAAAATATGTTTGAACAGCTAATACAAGATCAGCTCTCTGAAGCTATGTGGAGGAAAGAACAGTTAACTTCAAGCAACCATTGCAAGAATAATGATATGTAGCAAATATGAGAAAACAAAACTGTATACTTCTGATTTGTTCTATAATTCAAGTTTGAAAATATGAATGCCCTGGGTCTGTGATACCTATGAAAGGATCAGTCAGTTAGTCTCAGTCAAAATGTCCATTAATTACACACAGAGGAACTCCACATTATAAAAACCATACTAGTTTTTCTGAGAGACCACATAGGGCAGCACAAGCCACCAAAATAAACTCAGCAACTTACAGTGATCAAATACCTTCCCATGTTCTATTGCAAATACTAAATATTTCCTGAGACCTGTTCCCTGGTACATGCTGTTAAGGTATTTGAAGGAAAAATTTAAAAGAAAATTATAGAGGAACCAAAATATGCAAATTTGCTTCTGAGAAGGAGCAGGGATGTAGGAAGGGGAAACTACTACCTGTGGAGGGTGGTCTCCCATTGCATTGAAAAACTTCTCAGGCCTTATTGTATGCTACTTTTAGCTCTAGTTTAAAGTGCAGAAGATATCACCATACACTAATGAGAAGAGTTCATACAAACAACGAGGCAAAGAGGTTGCACAAGTGGTCCTTAGCTTAGTTCAGTACAAGGTTAAAAAGAGTATTTCCAATGAACAGTCATGGACTGTTTGAGCTAAGTTGGCTGGCTTTGTGTTGAGCTAGACTGAAAATGCTTCTGCATTCTGTGCTGCCAGATTTTCTGTGGGACTGGTAACATTGAGCCTAAAGCCAGGAATGAACATCTCAAACTAGGTCTTAAATAATGTCAACTATCTGCAAGGTGAACAGTGCCTAAGTCTTTAGAGTACACTACTACTACTACTACTACCTACTACTACCTACTACTTTAGAGTAGGGATGAGAACTGGAGAAAAGTAGAGACTACTGTTGGTTTTCGTCAGTCTGAAAACGCCTTCTTAGACACCGTTACGGGGATTACGTGTTTCTTTCCCTCTTTGCACTCATTGTGGAGCATTTACTGTAGATACACAAGAGTTTACTACTGAAAATTAGATTTTTTTTTTACTTTTTTAAGCAAATCCATTATTTAATGACATGTAGGATATGTTTTACTGCAAAGCAGAAAACATCATTTAAGCTGACTACTGTTATAAAAACATACACCGAGATACTCATTGGAGAAAAATTAACTGTATAATGAGAAGGGAAGAAAGGGAGGAGGATGGAGAGAGAACATCTCCATTTATTGACAATGAATACAGAAACATTCACATTCTGGTGGTATACATTTTCTTACACTCTACTTTACTTGAAGGCCATGAAATACCTGTTACTTCAAATCTGAATTAGAAATTTTGAAATTAGAAGTGACTGATAGTGAAATAACTCAGATCATTACTTTGTTGTAATGTAGAGGTTGCATCAATGCCATACCATATCACATACAGTATCTTTGTGGAATAATATGCTGCAAGAGTGTAGCATCAGGTTTTTTTTTCTACAGGAAATCTAGGCTATACGTTCAATCATTTTAAAATCTGTTTTGATTTGCAGCCTCCTGAATTCATTCCAAAGGAGATATGATATCCTTGCATAGCAAAATTGGGTGATAACAGGCTTGCTTCTCATAGCTATTGGTCATGGGGTTCCTAGTGATAGGTTTGCAGGGTACAAAGACTAGCAAGCCAAAAGGACAGTAAAATACCTTCAATAGGACCAAACAACAGAATTATAAGAGTTTGTTTTCTACGCAGTCATTTTTCTTGTTACTAGAAATGCAGTTTTTGAGTGTGATATTTACAAAACTTTCTGGTGTTCTACAGCTCTAAAAATCTTACATTTTCTTACAACTAAGTAAGGAAGAGAAAAATGATCAATTTACCTGTTAGCTGATAGATGTTGTGAAGATTTGATGAACTGGGGATAAATCGTCGTGCTATTCGGTGAGCTAACCAACTCTGTCTTTTCTTGCTGGGTCTAGATTGAAAAACAAAACTATGTAGTAGGATGGGATTTTTTTAGAGCATTTAATATTGGTCTACAGGTCTCAGCTATAATGAGGTAGGTCAGTGACTCATTCAAAAAACAATCAAATTTACAGTATTTTCTTCACTTACACAAACACTTCTGAACAATGTGAAAAGTGTTCAGGATTGAGTCAAAGATACTTAAGCTCATGTTACAGGGCTTTAGTATGTAACAGCATGTTTCACTATTTGAGTCTCTTAGGGAGCTCAGATGTATAGATAGGTCAAGATCCAAGATATCAATCCCTTTCTATTTTTTCCCCAGTTCTTTAATCTTCTACTGGTGAATCATGAGAGACTGAATCCTGGACCTCTCTTTTAAGGGACAGAAAAAAAATTGTGCTGCAGTGGATTCAAGATTATTGTTTGTAGTGTTTTAAAAGTCTAAATTTTTAGACAGGATGTTAAGTAAAACATTATCATCTTTGCCTTAGGCTAGGGACTTTAATTTGAAAAAATATTTTATAACAATAACTTGAATTTAAGCTATTTTCATGGTATTTTATGAATACGTAAGCTCCTCATATTAAATATCTGATTTATTTTAGACTATTTTCTTTAAAATATGTTTTAAATTTATACTCACAGGAATTAAACAAAATACTGTCTAAAATCTTCTGTCTCTTTTATAACAAATTTTCTCCACAGACTAAAGCTTATCTTCTAGTTAATAACAAGTAATATGTACAGACTGCACTTAGCAGTCTTTTCCACTAGGCTGATAGGCATCTCACAGCTGTCCTGTGCTATAAGATGCCATGTCACTGCTTGGAAGTCATTAAAAAAAAAAAAAGTCAAAAAGGGAGCTCATAAGAAAGCTATGTTATTTCAGTTGTTTCCCTTCCAGACCTTTTGTACCGTACTCTGTGTTTGTGAAACCATGTAGCTGTCTCACTGCCTGATGAACTTCACATAATTTGCTTAAAGTCACATCTCTTTCAATCATTTTTACAAAGGTGTTTACAATAGAACACTTTGTTTCCAGTGAGTTCTTAAACAGACAAGGATGGTAGTGGTTGGACTCAGCTGGAGAGCAAGGGGACACATGCACTGTGGTGAGAGTTAGTGAGCCTTTGGGAGCTTAAGAAAGCTGAAAAATTACAGGAGACTTTGAAACATTGCTAAAAAACAAATTACATTTGTTGGGTTTTGTCCATATTACAGCTTTGACTGCCATACACGTCATAAAACTGATGAAATCATAGTTTAGTAAGCAGTGAGAAAGATTATTTTTTTCCAGTTGCCTCTATTCATTTTATGTTCCATCAGAGTCTTTGGAATTTTTGGGACTGTTCTTGGCTTTTCTTCAACTTGTGTGGGAGGAAGTCAAAACAGAAAATAAAGCAGAAAGCAAGGGTTTCGCTTTGTTTGTATTAGCTTCATAGAGCATAATTCACATTAGCTTTGTCTGATTTACATTGGAACGAGCAGTGGTGAATTAGGACTCAAATCCCTTCCTTCGTACTCCTTTCTATCTTGTCAATTAATGAAATTATTTTTATGAAATTTTATACTTATTATTAATATTAACATATTTATTATTAATATTAATATATTTATTAATTTTATGAACTTATTGAAGATTTTAAATTTACATTAAAATGGAAGAAATACACTGTAATTGTATACCTGTAGATTTGTTCCCTCTTCAGTCCACCAGGCTTCAAAGTCTTTTTGTAGCTTCATCTTGGCTTTTTCCATGAGAAGCTGCAGGTGTTCAATCTCTACCTTCAGCCCTTTCAAGCGATTGAACATTGTTTTATAACTAATGTGAAAAGAAGAAAGAGTAGTAAAGATCTTACAACATGTCTCTGAATAAAGTTTAATTCTACCTAGAATAGCTACAGATTTAAAATAAAAAGAATATTTAACAATCAAAGATGAAGTGGTGAGGATGGGCAGAGTGGTGGTGAGAAGAGATCTCTCATGTTTTATGATAGCTTCACTAGAGATTAGAGTCCTATCCTGGAAAACTAAATTTTTACTAAAATAATAGTGAAATTAAAGTGCAGCCAACATTGATTTTAATACAGGTTTGATAATGTCAAGATACGCATTGATTGCCCTTCCAAATGAAAGCTAATATGTAGTCAGAAATTACTGAAGTTTGAAACAGTCAGAAATTACCTCATAGGCTACATATAATACAAATGTCTACAAAATTACATAGATGTGATATCCTTGCATCTATTTTCTTCTGTCTTCTGGGCCAAAGCTACAATACAGCAAGCAGAAAGATTGACTAACCAGTGCATATTCTACATATTATTTACAACTAGTCAGTCCTACATAGCCTAAAAGTTTTCCATAGGTCGAGGAAGGCATGACATTCATGAATCAACAAAGAAGGTACATGGTACATTTGGATTCAAAGAACGAATTTCTGATGCTAATCCTCAAGGGGGATATTAAGTTTTTATTTATTCTTGACCACTGGCCCTAGCATAGGTTTTCACCATTTGCTTACTGTGGCATCTTACAGACAAACCAACAGCTTACACACAAATTTTAAAACTATCAGCAAACCACAAGGCTGACATTTTTTAAAATGTCAGAGAAACCCTGATGTTAACTGTGTGTAGAATTGTAATACAATATAGTTTATCCTTTGGAGCAAGTTATACCTTTTTTTCTCTTCATCAATTTGAGTTCGAAGTTTCTCTTCTACTGGATCAAGAGCATCTAGCATTTCAGAAGGATTGGAAACAGCTGGAGAAGGAATGACCAGATATAAGAGATGAACATCTTATTTCTGAAGAAGCAACTTATAATCAGCACATGAGCTGTTTTTAAGAGGTTGGTAACGAAATAGAAATTTATAGCAGTTTTTCTTTTCTGGATTTTTTTTTTTTTTTTTTTCTGAATTCTATATTCAGGCTTTAACTAATGTTAGAGAGATTTAATTACTATGGTGATTTGAAGTAAGTTGTTTTGAATTTCCTGGAATATTTGTTTTAGATATGAATAACAATGATTTTGCCAGCTCATCCCATAAAACACCACCATATGCTTTCAATGACAGTTTTGGCTACAAATAGAAGAAGATCCAATAGTAGCTGTGCTGGTACCTGTAAACAGTAACAGAAAGAAGATTAAAATATGAACACAGAGTGTAACTTCTATCAGCAATATGTTTGGACAGATTGTATGCATGCGGAAAAGGTTGTGAAAATACATCTGAGAATTTTTTTCAAGGTAGAGAAGAACTGTGAAAGTACTCCAAGAGAGTTTAGCCCAAGCTAACCCACAAAAGCAGCTCAGGATTTTCATGTCCTATAACAGAGTTAGCATGCAATAAATGAAATGCTTCTTCTGAGAATCAGTAGAACAGCCTTTCCATCATGGGTTGAATGAAGTAAGTTCATTTCAACAGAGAAAAGAAATGTATTGTTACCTATTAGTCTTACAACAGTTTCTATTTCTAGAATGTACGAGAACAGTTTAATATTCCCAACAGAATACATTTAACTTTTAGAACTGAAGAAAATGGAAAAGAAACAAAAGATTTGCTGTACAATACATGCAAGTTTACATCCAAATCACTATTTCTGCCAAGAAAATAAATTCTACATCAACCTGTCATTAGGCCTAAGGAGTGCAGCCTTTCTCTGAGGAATGGAATCTGTCTGGAACAAGAGGGCAGCAGTGACCCTTTTCAGGCTGTCAGTACGCCAGCTACATACATTAATCTTTTGTTGTAGCACCCTGTAGCTTAGTACAAATGAAACTGAAAAGCGTTTTATTTCTTTTAGAGCTCTTAGATCAAGCATTTTAATACAGACAGCCAAGATGGACAAAGCCCATGCACACTTCTCATTTCATACATCTAAAGGCTTCATTAGGTGTGCAGATTACAAAAGGACAGGGAGATGACATTTGTGGTGGAGAGAGTATCCTCTTTAAAGCGACCTACTTGGAGTGTTAAAATGAGTATGCAAATCAAGAGATAGAAACAACATTACTGAGGAGATGCTAGAGCAGTGGTGTTATATAATACAACAAAACTGAACACAGTCGATAAGGAGAAGGCTTCAATAATCGTGCCAGATCCTGCAAGGAAAGCAGCAAGTCTATCAATGATTTCAGGGGATCAGTAGTTTCTAATTTGTCAGATTTCCTCCTCGGGAGGAAGGCATAATGTGACAAAGTGCAGCACTACATAGGATAGGTTGCTTAAGGGTAGACAATTTCTGAAGAGCTCCTAAGGGCTGAACTTTGTTCTTCCCTTCATGAACACAGCATCCAGGCTTGAGAGAAATGTACTCTCATGGAAAAAAAAGGTTTAGGATGTTACTGCATCCCAGGTGAACCATGCTCATGAGAGCATCCTGAATGCACCCCAGTGCAAAGCCAGGGAGGCTGAGCTTAAGCTGTCCTCAGCAGCAGTGAAAGGGACTCTCCTGAGCATGCCTGTCCACAAGGAGCAGCAGCTCTAGTCCCTGAGAATGAAGGGAAATAGAATAGAGAACAGAAACAACTTAAACGTTAATGCTGTTTCTGAAGGGAGAACTTTCCTACATGAAAACATTATCAAGTTCTGCTAGTCATTACAAAGAGAAGCAGGATCATAATACTGTAGCTTTCCTTTCCTGATTTATTTGGATATCTAATACTTGGAAAAACATGTTTGTACTAGCTCTCAAGTGGCAGCCTCAGGCAGAATTTGCTCACGTACATAAAAACACAAAGAAAAATGTTTTGCTGCTGATTATACACTGTAGAATGGGTTGTTTTGTTAGAAATTACCTTCAGAAGTAATAATAAAGACTTTTATAAACACACAGAGTATCTCTATGACGCAAAGCCTCAGCACTCTCAATCCTGAAAGCAGCTATGCATATTCCCTCTAGGAATATGCTGGTGATGAAAACAAGAAACACAGCCGTGGGCAAGGTGAGCTGCACAAAGTTTTGTGTACATACGCAATGGAAAGAGATGCGTACACTGTATGCTGATGCAGACCCCACCAGAAGAAGAAAGCACTGGAGCCTATGGGCTCCTGCTGCTGACATGTTGTAGTCCTCTCCTCCCACCTGCAATTTCAGCTATAGCTCAAGCTAAGAAGCTAAGGCAGAGGTTATTGGCTCAGTCTGTGCTCTGTATCTGACATTTAACAGTGTCACTCTCCAGCAAGCAGGCTCAGATATTTAAAATAACATGAAAGACAACTCTGTGAATAGTCAGTACAATGTACGTTTGATTACAAATTTGAGATATCTAAGAAGAATTTATTTTTACCACCTATTTTACTTCCACACAAGACTTTCTTTTTCACTGTATGTATCTCCCTTCCCCTATAGAAAAAAATGCTTTAAAATGTAAAATCATTTTGCTTGGGTTTTGATCAGGTTAAGGGGTGTAGCAGATACGTGACATACATGTGTAAGAAAACATTGCCTATGTATGTGAGGAGCTTCAGCTGGCGTACACCTGCATAGATCTACACAGTAGTTTCAGTAGTGTACTCCCAAGAAGTATTAGTTTCTCTACATTAGTCTAACTGCCCATACAACAAGCAGGAAAATCATATGAATCCTACATTTGGTGTATTTTGCTAACAGAACTGACTCACACAACACAAGAAAGCAATTTAACAGACCTTGAGTAGTGAAATAGCTAGCAATAATCATATTTATCTTTAGATCAACTGCTTTTGCTTCATCTTCTGATATAACCTGTTTGGCAAAATAGGACACAGGGTACAGCTGACATCAGTAGCCTACTTAGGGATGAAAATGAGTGGACCTTGTTTGAGAGGACAATTCATTGCATATTTTTTTCATGAAGAAGATTGCAAGAGGCATTTGAAGTTCTATTGCTTTTAGTTTAATAAGAGGGCCAATTTTGGAGCAAAGGAAGTAGTAAATTTTCCAATACTTTCCATGTGACCAAATCACACAGTACCAAAAATATATTATAGCACTTGTTAACAATCTCACTGTTTCAAAGCATTGTGAAAAACATGGATAAAAACCACTATTTCCAGCATAAGATATCAAGTGTAATCACCACAGTTTACTGAAAGCAGGCAACAACTTGAAGTACTCTGACAGATTCTTGTCCGCAGTCACAAAATTTTGCAAGAAAACTCTCTGTGACCCTAAACTTTATACTCTCAGGGGCACTCATATATTTCCCAACTTGAGTATATCCTGGAAGTCAAACTCCTAGGGATTTATTGTACTTGTGCCTCAAATAACATTGTGCCCTGCCCTCCAGCTGTGCTTTTGCAGAGAAAGATTTTCATTTTTTTCACTGAATACTCTTGTGTTTATCTCCTTAAATTTATAGTCACTTGAAGTAACAAAATTTAGAATCGACTTCAGTATCCAGTTAGTATTTTTACTGCTTTATTTATCAGCTTTGCAGCTTTTTGGCAAACTCAGGCTTTAGTGCTTTCAAAGTGCATCATACTTTGTTATTTTGGCTTTTTAAAAAAGAGCTACCCTTCAGCTGCTATTCAGGATCATCTTGCAAGGAATTTTCATGCTCTTCTTTCTTATTCCTCCTCTAGGCCATGACAACCTCTTTGCCACCAGTTACTACACTGTGTACCTTATACAAAGCAAAGATGAGGATGCACAGCGAAACCCATCAGAACATACCCTCATGTCTGGAATAGTTTATGATGTTGGTTTTAGAGCACTTTACCCTTAATCCTAGTATAAGAAACCTTTAAAAATTTCAGCCAGGTGGCCCTAAGAATTAGGGAGTGTCCAAAGAAAGGCTGCAACAATGGTGAAGCGTGTGAAGGGCAAGGTGTGTGAGGAGCAGAGGTCCCTTGATTTGCTCAACCCAAAGCAGAGGAGCTGAGGAGAGGCCTCACGGCAGCATACATCTCCTCACAGGGAATGGAGGAGCAGTGCTGAGCTCTGCACTCTGTGACAGTGACAGGACCTGAGGAAATCACATGGAGCTGTGTCAGGGGAGGGTCACACTGGGGTTAGGAAAAGGTTCTTCACCAGGCATCAGTGGGCATGGAACAGGCTGCCCACGGCAGTGGGAATGAGCTGCTACAATTTGAGAAACATTTGGACAGTGCTCTCAGAGAAAGGTTTCGAATTTTGGGCGGTGTGTGGAGCCAGGGGTTGGACTCCGTGATCCTCCTGGGTCCCTTCCAACTCAGGATAATCTATAGTTCTATGATTCTAAGTATACATTGAAGTAAAGTGTCCAATTTTCAGTTTTTTATAAATGTGCATGCTTAGAGGGTTGAAGGCATCTGTATTTTAGTCACTGAGTTTAGCAAAAATGCCCATCAGTATGCTTCTTCTCTAGGTACTCCAGATGTATTGCTTACTGTCCTACTTGCTTAATATTCACTCAAAATAACTGACTTTCAATGCACACATGGAAAGTGAAGATATTTTTTTCCAGTCTCTATGAACTGTTTTGGCTAAATACAGATTCACATACCAATTCCCTTAACTCTCTTCTTTGCAACTAGTCATCCATATATGTGCTCCTTAAAATACACACAACACATGAAACAAGAAGCTGTTGCTTTCTCCTCAGCTGCACTCAAGCCATCAAAGTTTCTTACAAAACCATTGTGGCTAGAAGATCTCTATTGGTTTCCAAATATACAAGTGAACTTTACAGTGAATTAAAAAAGAAGTTTCAAGTTTAGTGTGTTTCATACATGGCAGCTGATGTAGTGGAAGAGTAATATACTGTGTCATATTCAGGAAACACCTACGAATTTGGAT